GTTGCAGTTTCAGCAGTTTTAGCGCTTGTAGGTGACTTTTTACAAGTTATAACTGCCAGGGAAATAAGTCAGCGAATTATGTAATTGATTATGACAAAATAGTGCCACAAATGTGCCACATGTAACGTAATATTTCATGGAAACATTTAAGATGGGAGAACATAATAAAACCGTTAAATTTCGTGACTACTGATTGTAACCTGAAATTGTAGAGGAGACTTGATGTGATTTCTATATGCACATGTCCCTATCCTTAAAATTCTTTCTCTCCGCGGTCTACCTAGTCTGTGCAAAGTCACCTTGATCTACCCCTCGATGTGGAAAGTAATATCCTAAAACTTGTTCCCTTGTTTACCATAATTAAGAAAAAAAACGTTTACTTGCTGGCGATTATGGACTATGCGTCCCATGGCAAAAAAATCTACAAAGAAATAGTTCCGAGAACTAAGATACGATTGGACTTGCATGAGGACTTGCTGGCCAAACTTCGATGTTATGGCTTATCGGATCATCTAGCTTCCTAAAAGAACACTCCATTTGATTTTCTCCAAGAAGATAAATGTTTCCGAACCGGATATAATAATGTCAAGTCAGACAATTCCGCTTACTGCTCCGATAAGTTTATTGAGGATTGAAATGGACACCAATTATGTCTTGGCACAATCATGTCGCTAAAATTGCAAAGGTTGCTCCTCAAAAGTTCTCAACAATGTTCCGAAACAGAAAACTGTACAAACCCCAACCACTTATGATGTCAGGACACACAATTCTGCTGTCTGCTTCGATAAGTTTGTTGAGGATTGAAATGGACACCAATTATGTCTTGGCACAATCATGTCGCTAAAATTGCAAAGGTTGCTCCTCAAAAGTTCTCAACACTGTTCCAAACCAGAAAACTGTACAAACCCCAACCACTTATGATGTCAGGACAGACAGTTCTGCTGTCTGCTTCGATAAGTTTGTTGGGGATTGAAATGGACACCAATTATGTCTTGGCACAATCATGTCGTTGTAATTGCAAGGGCTGATCCTCAAAAGTTTGAAACACTGTTCCGAACCAGAAAACTGTACAAACCTCAGCGACTTTTGTCGCATTTCATCTACTGCAGTTCTATATCAATTTTTGGCAAGCAAAAGGATGTAGGTACATGAAATACAAATGAAGCAGAACAAATTAATGCGGATTTTGCTGTGTAGTGGACGCACATCAATTGAAACCATGTTAGAAACACTAAATGTGACTGAACGTCGATCAAGTTCTCACTTGGCTGGATTTTTGTCTAGTTTTTGGGTACTCGTTTCTAATTATTACTCATTCTTTTTGAATTATCAAGTGAAAATAATGAAATTTTCCGTAGTTATGAAGTAGCCTTATTAATTGTGTTCAAAACTTGATATCAGGTAGAGGTTGTCCGGCTGCTGTTCTGAGGTTATGGAACGATTTAACGTCGACGCCAGTGGAACTTTGTGGAGAAAAGGCACTTGGTGACAAATCATGGCAATATATCTCAACATCGAACGCCATGAGGTTCAGGTGAGTCAATATTTCATTAAAGAGATTGATAAAATATCGTTTTTCAACTTGAATCAATTGTTATAAATAGTTAAAAAATTGCTTTACAAGTAATTATAGTATTCTGTTCGTAACCTTTGGTGTAGTTATGAATATTAGTGGAGGTTTTTCCCAACAGCAAATCGTTATTTTAACACTTCGACACGTATTTCGATCACCAAGTGATTATCTTCAAGAAGAAGATTAAACTGAATCTTGAAGATGACTAATTGGTATTCGAAACACGCATCAAGGTATGAAAATAATGGTTTGGTGTTGGGACAAAACTCCAGTGATATTAATTAAACTTTTATTTCTATTATTTCTAAACAAACAGCAAATATTCGCACACTACCTATAACGATCGCTTGTTTTTAGCAAACAACCAGAAACGCATATGCTATCATCAGTTTAACCAACATTATGTGTAGTCACATAAGGACACATGAGGTTATATACCAGCATTGTTCAGGAATAGGTTTCTATCTATATCGACTGATAAACTCACGTCAAATCTTCAAAGGTTTGCTGTATTCAGACGGAGAAAATTTTCTATTGGTATCATACATCTTTTTTCAGTTTGTGCCGTATATTCATTCCACCAGGAAATATTGTATCTCATAACATAACACAAAATAACATGCCATGTCATGACATGACACGACATGACACGACATGACATGACATGACATCACATGTCATGACATAACACGACACGTCATGACATAACATACATGACATGGCATGAGACAACATGATACGGCGACGATATGATATGACACGACATGACACAACACAACTCGGTATGACACGACATGATATGACAAGACAGTATGGCCCGACATAACAAGACACGATAAGACATGACACGACAACACGTGACACGATATGGTAACACGGTATGACACGTCATGTCATAGTATGAACGACGTCACGACGTGATATGAAAAGACAAGACATGACAAGATATGAGACGAGATGATCGGAATGACAGAGACATGTCACGGCAAGGCATGGCATNGTGAAAAATTATTATTGTGTTCCATCGTATGAATCAACCACCTGCAAAAATCTTGGGTGGAAATCCCGAGGAAGTGGAGCTTGGACCTGCTGTATGTGATATGGGTATAGAAGGTTTCTTTTTGAAACTGTCCATATGGTTTTCGGGCTGACTTTCAGCTGCAGTGCACTCTTCTTGGTACTATTTCAAGGATCTTCTTCTATCGCATCAAGTATAGCTTCTTCTAGTTCAGGCGTTGTTACAGTTTCTGGAGTTCCACCATCTGCATTTTTTAAAACTCCCAGTTTCACATGTAGCGTTCTAAATGTTTTAGCACTTACTCTGTTAATATATCTGTCCAGGTAAATTCTTCGTGCTTCTTCCGCATTTCCATTTGGTAATCCATAAATGAAGTGCATGTCAGCCGTTTCAGCGTTGGTAAAATTATTCATGGTGAAACCGCTGCTAATTGTCAACTCTGGCTTTCACCGATATGACAACACTATAACTGTTAGCTGGTATGCAAGGCAGGTGTTCATGATATGCAAAGTGGCTTATTTTTTTTCTCGAAAACTGTATGAAGAAATGAAAAGAAATGAAAACTACAATAAAAAGTCAGTGGCGTACTTTTTTCCCAAATATTGTTGGTTGTGGTACCCACTGAGACTCCATTGGACCTAATAAATTCAATCTAGTTAGGCCTCAAATTAGGCTCAAGCTAGGCTTCAAATAACTGTAGCAAATTTCAACCAAATCGGTGTGAGGATTTTTTTCCAATTCAACGCCCTGTATCTCAGAAATGAAGCAACTCTGGACATATGTTGATGAGATTTTTTTCCTTAAACGACCTAACGAATCACCCTCTGAAGTTTCGTACCGTACTTAGGAAACATCCTGAATTCTGGCAGAATATTCATCGTATTTTGAATGTAGTTGTTGATATTTACGTTTTTTGACTTTTGTGATGTTGATCAAAATAATTTTTGTCTGACTCAACCTATATCACTTTAGGATCAATGAGGATTTATCGAATATCATTGGCATCATAATTGAAGTACTTTATTCATTTTCAGTTGTCCTTTCGACTACGTGAAGGTGTTCGATGGACCTGACAATAGTTCAGCGGTGATAGGAACATATTGCGGCCAACAACGCAACCTGGTCATTTATTCATCCGAATCTTCCCTTCTAGTCGCATTCGTCACCCTCCCACGCACTGCCAATACTCAGAACCGGGGTTTCAAGGGCATTTTTGAGTTCTCGAACTCGTTCACAAAATTAGGTAAGAATCGACAAAATTAACCAGTATCTATAAGGTCTTTCAACAGGGACTTCCAAACTTTGACAGGTGACAACGGCCATATTGTTGAAGCAACATATGTCAAATTACTTGTCATCTATTAAGTCTGTTTTGCCAAATCACAATGGACGGTTATAGCATTGAACAACACGTGCAACGGCGATACTCATTCCCACATTCTATTCGTCACCGTAACATAACTTCATATTTAATTTTATGACTCTTTAGCCAATCATAAAACTCGCTTAGTAAAAATTATCCAATACGAACCGCCAATTCTTCAGTCCACATGGACTAGTTGGTAGCGGCAATATTTCTCTGTATTGGTGTTTTTGGCCTTGGAGATGCCGATAGCTTTAAATATTCACAGNCTAGTACTATGTTGCTGTATCGCTGCTCTTCCAATGTTTTGGAAGAATCAGAATCAACGAACTCAGGCGTGAGCAGCGTTATAGAACCATGCTTTCAAAAAATTGTTCTACAGTATCATCTAGTGGTGAGTTACAGAAAAATTGATAGCCTAAAAACTTTATCTATGAAAAATTACTTATACATGTCAAGTTTCATCACGATCGGTTGAGCGATGTAGAAGTTTATCACTTACTAATCAACCAACTAACATCCATTTTTACATATTAGATTCTTTTAATCATTTTCTCTCATACATTCAACGAATCGTCAACAAAGAATGCAATATAGTTGTCAAAGAATAATGAAAATATTATCTAGTCAATATTTTCTGAAGAAGTATTCGTATTACTTTCAGTTGTACGGACGGATACCTGAAAATCTACTTGAAGGGCCAAGAAACCACGGATTCGTATGACAAATTCGACTACGAGATGTGTGGTGAGGACAGCAAACCAACAGTTGTTGTCTCCGACGGGCCCAGAATGGTTATTGTTTTCAGTAGCGGGGAACTGATGGGTAGGGGCTTCAAAGCCAACTATACTTTCGAGACTGGTATGTATCTTCATGTTTCCCAGAATAATGTGAGATATTTTTCAAAAGATATTTCTGATAGAGACTCATACTTATCATACCGACTGCGCCAGTTACGTATTCGACGCATAAAGATTGTTATTTGAGAAGACTCCATTGACCTTTTTGGTCAATTTTGATTTGAATCTTCCCTTCTAGTCGCATTCGTCACCCTCCCACGCACTGCCAATACTCAGAACCGGGGTTTCAAGGGCATTTTTGAGTTCTCGAACTCGTTTACAAAATTAGGTAAGAATCGACAAAATTAACCAGTATCTATAATGTCTTCCAACAGGGACTTCCAAACTTTAACAGGTGACAACGGCCATGTTGTTGAAGCAACATATGTCAAATTAGTTATCATCTATTAAGTCTGTTTTGACGAATCACAATGGACGGTTATAGCATTGAACAACACGTGCAACGGCCATACTCATTCCCACATAACTTCAAATTCAATTTTATGACTCTTCAGCCAATCATAAAACTCGGTTAGTAAAAATTATCCAATACGAACCACCAATTCTTCTGTCCACGTGGACGAGCATTGAACAACACGTGCAACGGCCATACGCATTCCCACATAACTTCAAATTCAATTTTATGACTCTTCAGCCAATCATAAAACTCGGTTAGTAAAAATTATCCAATACAAACCACCAATTCTTCTGTCCACATGGACGAGTTAGTAGCGGCATTATTTCTCTGTAATGGTTTCTTTGGCCTTGGAGATGCTGATAGCTTTAACAATTCACAATACAGGTTACTTTCACTATAACATTGTTATAATTCACCTTGTTCATTCTTGAGAACATTTCATTACTAGAGAGGTTCAATACATTTCCCCCACTATATATTTTTGAATATTTTCATTACAGATGTCGCGCGATATTTTTTTTTCTTCAGATAACCAGAAACAAAGCTATTCTGAATAATAATTTCCTGTTGCAGATTTCATTAAGAAAGACGGGGAACACATTCGCGGAACAGAGTGCGATCAAAAAATTCTAAGCAAAAAAGAATCCAGCGGCTTCGTTTTCAGCCCCAACTACCCCTTTCCTTATATGCCTAAACTAGTGTGCCGTTACTTCATCTACGGCATGCAGGACTCTCAACATCTGGAACGAGTCAGGTTGGAGTTTGTTATGTTTGAGATCCCGAAAGGACCGAAAGGAGAGTAAGTATCAACATCATCACCCTTCACGATTTTATGTGATAGTAATTCTGGTAACAAGTCCGGAAAATACTGTTTTCTGGACGAATAGACAAAATTCTAGGGCGAGCCGTAGGGGTGTCTTGAAAGTCTGCGAACCAAAAAAACTGTTTTCGGACGTGTTGCGTACACTGTTTTTCCAGTAACTATGTTGAATAACAAATCAATGAGACACATTTATTTATTACCTGTTTTTGTGTAACAAAGCTACTACAGTGTGTAATCTTCAACTATTATGAAGAAACAATGGCAACGCGCCTAGAATGGAACCTTGAGGGACTCCTGTGTTCATGTTACATCATCAATTTTACCCTTTGCTATGTATTCTACTAATAACTGGAGAATCATTTCTCTGATACCATAATAAGCAACATTTTAGGGCAAACCATGTGATTTTTCTTCAATTGGAAGACGTATTGTGGATATTACAGAATGACAGAAGAACGTTGAAATGATGGTATACAATTTTTGAAATCGTCTTTTTCATTTTTTTTGTGTGAACACAATTATATTATACAAGTACTATGTTGCTGTATCGCTGCTTTTCCAATGTTTTGGAAGAATCAGAATCAACGAACTCAGGCGTGAGCAGCGTTATAGAACCATGCTTTCAAAAAATTGTTCTACAGCGTCATCTAGTAGTGAGTTACAGAAAAATTGATAGCCTAAAAACTTTATCTATGAAAAATTACTTATACATGTCAAGTTTCATCACGATCGGTTGAGCGATGTAGAAGTTTATCACTTACCAACTAATCAACTAACATCCATTTTCATATATTAGATTCCTTTAATCATTTTCTCTCACACAGAGTATGCAGAGAATAATGAAAATATTATCTAGTCAATATTTTCTGATGAAGTATTCGTATTACTTTCAGTTGTACGGACGGATACCTGAAAATATACTTGAAGGGCCAAGAAACCACGGATTCGTATGACAAATTTGACTACGAGATGTGTGGTGAGGACAGCAAACCAACAGTTGTTGTCTCCGACGGACCCAGAATGGTTATTGTTTTCAGTAGCGGGGAACTGATGGGTAGGGGCTTCAAAGCCAACTATACTTTCGAGACTGGTATGTATCATCATGTTTTCCAGATTGATGTGAGATATTTTTCAAAAGATATTTTTGAGAGAGAATCATACTTATCATACCGACTGCGCCAGTTACGTATTCGACGCATAAAGATTGTTATTTGAGAAGACTCCATTGACCTTTTTGGTCAATTTTGATTGTGAACATAGTTAGAGAGCAAATTCTGATTCATAATGAAAATTAGTGAATGAAGCCGATTTCAAAATTCCACGTACACATAACCGATATTCTTTGGATCCGAGAATTTGCACTTTTCCAGAATATATATTTCATGAGCGTTTTATTATAATACTTCCAATAATACCAAATTTTACAAAATACTCTTCATTATTCTGTTTTTCATGTTATTTCTCACCTCTAACAATTTTTGTATCATTTATTCTCAATCTTTTCACTTCTTGCGTTTTTCTTCATTTTGTTGAAGTGATTTTTCTCATATTTGATCTATGCCTCCCAAATTTCGTGGCTTCGAGAGTGGAGTGAACTGTCAAAAAAAATGTGTTGCCATATTTTTCAAAACCAAATATTTAATATCTAAACAAAAGTCGTATTTTCAAAACTTTCAACCCTGTTTTGTAATACTGATATTGATATCGGTCACATGATTAAAAGTATTTGGATTTTTTTCAGAATACCGCATCCCTGGGACCGCAGCTCCAGATGGTTCCTGTTCGTTCACCTACAGAAGCACTAGCAAGAAGAAAGGAGAGTTCAATTCTCCTCGATATCCTTCTAATTATCCCAGTGACACGAATTGCACCTATCTCTTCCTTGCCACCAATAACGAACAAGTTACTTTGGTTTTCGATAATTTCAAAATTCGCGCCGATAGCGTTAATATTACTATTGGTTCCTATGGGTGAGTACAATGGTTGAATTTATTAAATTATCTCAATCATAGGAGCGTACAATTCAGTAGTGCGTTTCTCACTCTTATTTTTTACTATTCGTTTTATTTCTCCCAAGTTTTCAAAATGCATCGCAGTCGCATGAGACCATCGCGTCTTCTCTTTCATTTTTTCATGAGATCTTCAATATTCATGTTCACTGGAGGGATACGCACACCCGTTATTAAACATAATTTCAATTGTGATATAATAAATCGCTCACTTTCTGTTATACATTTCCTCACAACAATCAGAAATGTTTCAGTTTCTTTATTGCGTTATCCGCAACTGAGATCTCCGTTTCACAACTATACTTAATAATTCAGATGTCCTCTGACTGGTCAGTTCCTTTTAAACTGATCTCTGCTCCGTTGGAGTAGTTTTCAGAATATTTCACCACTATTCTTCGTTTTAAAATGACTTTTCTGATGTAATCTTGTACCAATTTTTTACGGAACCAGATTTACTCCCATTTGATAACTGTGAATCATGGTCTACTCCAAGGATCACTATTTGATCCTCTGTTATTAACAATCTATACATCAAAACTTCACAAGAGTTCAAGACATTGTCATTCAGTATTTTTCGCCGATGAAAAATAGGTCTCTCCAGATTTTCAAGTAATTGAAACACACAATGCATGCGAGGAAGTGAGTGAAGATCTGAATAATCAGCACGATTTCAAAACAAATTTGGCTATAATTGGTATTCGGTTTGAAGAAATAAAGAAAATAACATAGAAAGTAGGCGTATTGTACTTCTGAGTAATTTATTTCATGAAGTTATCCGATCTCTAAAACTCTCATACCTTTCGAAAGAATTCGATCTGAACTACATTGAAGAACACTTCTTTTAAATTACACGATCTGCATTACCAAGCATAGGTAATATACAACAATATAGATACTCATCTGCATACAAATCTCAAATACAAAAATATATGTAACGAAGATTCTTGACAATTTGGAATCACAAAATTACGTCGGTGGAGAAAAAACTAAAAAAGGCCACTGGGCTGCTAATGACCCGAAGACTTCCCGAAGTTCTTGACACAGCTCAAGCACAGCTCAAGGTTACATGAAAACGGGAGTTGACTTTGAGATTCGACTTATTCTCACCGAGTGACCTTGAGGTTTGACCCCACACGTCTTTGACTTTTGATATTGAATGACGTCACATGGCCTTCAGTTCACGTCATGTGACTTCGAACATGCAATTCGACTTTGAAATTGGACTCTGCCTTCCACATCGAGTCAGAGTGGGAGAAATACTTTTTATAACAAATATGTTGCTAATATTTCGTTAGGTCAGCCTAATATGATATAAAATCATTTTAAATTCCTGGAAGAATCAATAGAATTAAATCAGGGATTTTGAATCATCATATAGACATATCAGACAATAGAAGTCCGAACTAATGAAATGCACCATGAAACATTGTCAACCACCTTCAAACAAATATGTGATGCTAATGTTTCGGTTCAACGGAGCGTTCAGTCTGCAATAAAAGCCTGGGGATCATATGTGACGTCTGCCATCTTTCAAAATCAAGGTCGAGTAGTGGGAGGGTTCAGAACCGTCATTACCACCCTACTAAGAATCCTTTCAATTCACACAGATATCGACTCGCATACTAGCTACTGATGTTATACCAATCACTATCGAATATTTTGTCAGTTTTGAATTTTTCCTAATTTTTGTTGTTTTCTCTTTCTTTGATTAGATGGAAGAGCGTTACTTTGTAATTCCTCAACGAAGAGAGGCGAACTTATATTCTTTAATTGCATTTTTGCAGAACTACAATTTGCCAAGAGGACTGGATCGAAATCTTCAACGTGTACCGCGACGGCACCGAAACGAAAATCGGCAGGTACTGCCACATGTCCGCGCCCGGCCCCATCGAGTCCAACAGGGGGGCCACGGGGCTGAAACTTGTCCTTCATTCGGACTCCGACGGGGTCTACAGCGGCTTCAAGGCGCGCTACAGCTTCGAACTGGCCAAGTCCATATTCGGTGATTGCGGCGGGAACGTCAGCAGTCTGGACTACGGAGTGATAACGAGTCCCAATTTCCCGAAGGATTACGGGGCTCCGTCGAAGAATCAAGCGTCCAAGAGCTGCAACTGGTATGTAACCGTGAGGCCGAAGTACAAGATTCTGTTGGTGTTCGAGAAGTTCGCGGTCGAAGGGGACCCTTCAGGTGAGTTGCAGTTTCAGCAGTTTTAGCGTTTGTAGGTGACTTTTTACAAGTTATAACTGCCAGGGAAATAAGTCAGCGAATTATGTAATTGATTATGTCAAAATAGTGCCACAAATGTGCCACATGTAACGTAATATCTGATATTGATCATATATTTTCTAACTGTTCTGATTATCAGGAACAAACCAAATATTTCATGGAAACATTAAGACGGGAGAACATGATACCACCGTTAAATTTCGTGATGACTGATTGTAACCTGAAATTGTAGAGGAGACTTGATGTGATTTCTAAATGTACATGTCCCTATCCTTAAAAATTCTTTCTCTCCGCGATCTACCTAGTCTGTGCAAAGTCACCCTGATCGACCCCTGGATGTGGAAAGTGATATCCTTAAATGTATTCCCTTGTTTACCATAATTGAGAAAAAAACCGTTTACTTGCTGGCGATTATGGAATATGCGTCCCATGACAAAAAAAACTACAAAGAAATAGTTCCGAGAACTAAGATTCGATTGGACTTGCATGAGGACTTGCTGGCCAAACTTCGATGTTATGGCTTATCGGATCATCCAGCTTCCTAAAAGAACACTCCATTTTCTCCAAGAAGATAAATGTTTTCAAACCGGATATAATAATGTCAAGTCAGACAATTCCGCTTTCTGCTTCGATAAGTTTGTTGAGGATTGAAATGGACACCAATTATGTCTTGACACAATCATGTCGCTAGAATTACAAAGGTTGCTCCTCAAAAGTTCTCAACACTGTTCCGAAACAGAAAACTGTACAAACCCCAACCACTTATGATGTCAGGACAGACAATTCTGCTGTCTGCTTCGATAAGTTTGTATTAGATTGAAATGGACACCAATTATGTCTTGGCCCAATCATGTCGCTGGAATTGCAAAGGTTGCTCCTCAAAAGTTCGCAACACTGTTCCGAATCAGGAAACTGTACAAACCTCAACAACTTTTGATGTCAGGACAGACAATTCTGCTGTCTGCTTCGATAAGTTTGTATTGGATTGAAATGGACAGCAATTATGTCTTGGCCCAATCATGTCGCTGGAATTGCAAAGGTTGCTCCTCAAAAGTTCGCAACACTGTTCCGAATCAGAAAACTGTACAAACCTCAACAACTTTTGATGTCAGGATAGACAATTCTGCTTTCTGCTTCGATAAGTTTGTTGGGGATTGAAATGAACACCAATTATGTCTTGGCACAATCATGTCGCTAAAATTGCAAAGGTTGCTCCTCAAAAGTTCTCAACACTGTTCCGAAACAGAAAACTGTACAAACCTCAGCGACTTTTGTCGCATTTCATCTACTGCAGTTCTATATCAATTTTTGGCAAGCAAAAGGATGTAGGTACATGAAATACAAATGAAGCAGAACAAATTAATGCGGATTTTGTTGTGTAGTGGACGCACATCAATTGAAACCATGTTAGAAACACTAAATGTGACTGAACGTCGCTCAAGTTCTCACTTGGCTGGATTTTTGTCTAGTTTTTGGGTACTCGTTTCTAATTATTACTCATTCTTTTTGAATTATCAAGTGAAAATAATGAAATTTTCCGTAGTTATGAAGTAGCCTTATTAATTGTGTTCAAAACTTGATATCAGGTAGAGGTTGTCCGGCTGCTGTTCTGAGGTTATGGAACGATTTAACGTCGACGCCAGTGGAACTTTGTGGAGAAAAGGCACTTGGTGACAAATCATGGCAATATATCTCAACATCGAACGCCATGAGGTTCAGGTGAGTCAATGTTTCATTGAAGAGATTGATAAAATATCGTTTTTCAACTTGAATCAATTGTTATAAATAGTTAAAAAATTGCTCTAGAAGTAGTTATGAATATTAGTGGAGGTTTTTCCCAACTGCAAATCGTTATTTTAACACCTCGACACGTATTTCGATCACCAAGTGATCATCTTCAAGAGGAAGATTAAACTGAATCTTGAAGATGACTACTTGGTACACGAAACACGTGTCAAGGTGTGAAAATAACAGTTTGTTGTTGGGATAAAATTCCAGTGATATTAATTAAACTTTTATTTCTATTATTTCTAAACAAACAGCAAATATCCGCACACTACCTATATTGATCGCTTGTTTTTAGCAAACAACCAGAAACGCATATGCTATCATCAGTTTAACCAACATTATGTGTAGTCACATAAGGACACATGAGGTTATATACCAGCATTGTTCAGGAATAGGTTTCTATCTATATCGACTGATAAACTCACGTTAAATCTTCAAAGGTTTGCTGTATTCAGAGGGAGAACATTTTCTATTGGTATCATACATCTTTTTTCAGTTTGTGCTGTATATTCATTCCACCAGGAAATATTGTATCTCATAACATAACACAAAATAACATGCCATGTCATGACATGACACGACATGACACGAATTGTCACGTTATTTCATTATACGACACGACATGACATGACATGACATCACATGTCATGACATAACACGACACGTCATGACATAACATACATGACATGGCATGAGACAACATGATACGGCGACGATATGATATGACACGACATGACACAACACAACTCGGTATGACACGACATGATATGACAAGACAGTATGGCCCGACATAACAAGACACGATAAGACATGACACGACAACACGTGACACGATATGGTAACACGGTATGACACGTCATGTCATGGTATGAACGACGTCACGACGTGATATGAAAAGACAAGACATGACAAGATATGAGACGAGATGATCGGAATGACAGAGACATGTCACGGCAAGGCATGGCATGACACCACATGACACGACTTGACTCGACACAACTTAACATGACCTGTCAAGATATGACATGACATGTCACGATACGATATAGCACGATATGATACGGCATAGCATGTCACATGAAGAAACGATAAGACAAGATGTGACAAGACGTGGCGCGACATGTCACGATACATGTCACGACATGACACGATACAACAAGACATGATAGGGCATGGCACGACATGACATGTCACGATATGAAACGACGTGACAAGGCATGACACGACAATACAACATGACACACCGATACGATATGATACAAGACAAGACAAGATACGACATGACACGACATAACATATAGCACATTCCGTGCATGATGTGTTTTTTTGAGTTACCTATATTGATGTATTTCCAGTTTTATAACGGCCGATAAAGCAGTGGGCGCGCAGGGATTCAAAGCCACTTGGACCGAAGTTATCGAAGGGCCTAGCTGCGATGAGTTCCAGTGCTTGAAGTCGGGTTTTTGCATCCCCGATAAGCTGCGGTGCAACAAGATAAATAACTGCGGATCCGACGACGAGTCGGACGAGGCGGACTGTGAGTGACGCAATGGTTGATAATGCTTTAAAACTGATAATTCTCCTGATTGACAATGTAGAGATTTTTCAATTCATTTTCAACACTGGTACACGACTTATTTCTATAAATTCAAGAAAAAACTAATTGGAAGTAATTATCGTAATTCCCATCAATAGTCATTGTGCCAGTTTCCATCCAATTCAACTACCTACCTGCAAATTTCTTCAGTTGCTTGAGGTCATATTTTTTTGGATTTACTGCTATTTTCATCATTTCGTTGCCGATTGAATATTGAATAATGAAAATATTCCTTCATTCTGAACACACTCATCAAGTAGTCTCATCAATTCAATTATATTATTAACTATTGTCAATTTTCAAATCGATAGAAACAGTTTGAGAGAAATATCACCACTCTTTTCAACATTTATACTACAATACCAGATATTAGTCTCCAACAGCATCTTTTTGTATGAATGGTGAAACATCTACTTCAAATAGAGTATATCCCATCGTGCTTTCCAAAAAATAATGAATTTGCAAATGTTTTGTAGGCTGTTAAATCTGTTCTACAAAAAGTAAGATTTTCCTTCTTGTTGAAAGAAAGCTCCCTATAACTGTAGACTGGCTCAGGAATGGAGCAATCGATAAACACTGAGAGCCTCATTTTTTTATATTTGCTGATCCCAAGGTCTGTCATCATATTTGGTATTTACTTCAGAAAATTATTAAGCAACTGATTTCAAAACTTTCGATTCGAAAACTAGAATTTTACTATGTTATTATAACAAACAAAAGTAGCTAAAAATCTGTACTTTGTCATCAAATATCCGAAATGTGATGAATATTTGTTTATTGATTGATTATTCAGTTCATTGGCATATTCAAAGTTGGTTTGGTTGAGTTCTTCGGATTGTTAAACAATATCAAGACTCATTTCATTTAAGAAAATTATCTTGCCCCCAAGATATTGAATATGCTCAATCACAAAACTATTTTGGAAACTTCAGGAATCGTACAACTAACCATGATCACAATTTGAAGCCATTTTCTCGTAACTCTTTCAAATCCGTTGGTTTTACGACATCCTCCGCATGTTTCCACTATACACCAAAAGCTACAAATTTTTCACCTACCTGTTCATCAATATACTTGGCATCTTATTGTGTTTCATGGAGAATTCAAAATATTGAATCAATTGTTTAACTAATGTATTCGATCTGGGTGGTCGTTCTTTGGAACCAATAATCTATATATTTGAGTTTTCTGTGAAACCTATTAATGTGATATTTAAGGAAAATGATTGTTAGCTGGCCAATGTTTCGAAAGTAATTGCAATTTCATTTTCTATTTTCGACTTCAATCCATCATTTCTCGATTTCATGACCATAAACCTAATTCAGTCCACAGCGTGGCAGATACAAAATATGTTTGTTTGAAGGTGGTTGACAATGTTTCGTGGTGTATTTCATCAGTTCGGTCTTCCATTGTCTGATATAATATAAATTGATTTGAAATTTCAAATTATGTAACGACGTTTCGATTGTTAGTATCCACAATTGTCTTCGGGTGAAAACTGGACTTATTTCTCCGAGATCCGACTATTTATAGGCCATTCGAGTGCTTTCACCTATCCCCTCTTCTCTCTCTCCGCTTCATTGTTTTTTAGCGGGAAATGACCGTTTGGCGGGAGTCGGTCGTTTTTCGTTTGATCAGAGGTTCCCATATGTTACATATCTCTACCCTAGCTTGACTAAATGCGATATTGGACAACATATACTCGGATTCTTTGAATTTTCTCCTAAACCAGTGTTCCTCTTTGTGTATGCTTTCAGCTTGAGCCCACTTGATATCATGTTGATGAGCCCAAACATGCCTGCTATTCCGGATTTGCTGGTTTCTCCTCGCTGTATGTGTGTTTCTTGTGCTTAGCAATGCGAACTTTCAAAGGCCTCTTAGTTTCACCGATGTATGATTCTCCGCACTCGGAGGGTATCCGGTAAATGCAATTCTTGGAATCGCAGTCCGCGTTTGGTTGCCTAGTTTTTCGTGAGGCTGCTACGGTTAGTGTTCCCAGATCTGAAGCAAGTCTTGATATTATACTTGGACCCAATCCTTTGTATCCTTTCCGATAATCCTCTGATGTACGGAAGTACAAGTACTGGTTGTGGAGGCTTCTCTTCCTTGTGCAGCTCTTGTGTCTTCTAGCTGAAGCCTGTTCTACCATCACTCTGGTGATACAAAGGAAGGTCTCGAAAGAGAAGTAGGCATCATCAAAATCTACCTTCAACGGATTGGTTACTCCAGAGTGATGGTAGAACAGGCTTCAGCTAGAAGACAGCAAGAGCTCCACAAGGAAGAGAAGCCTTCACAACCAGTACTTGTACTTCCGTACATCAGAGGATTATTGGAAAGGATACGAAGGATTGGGTCCAAGTATAACATCAGGACCTCTTTCAGATCTGGGAACACTATCCGTAGAAGCCTCACGAAAACCAGGCCACCAAACGCGGACTGCGATTCCGGCAATTGCGTTTACCGGATACCCTGCGAGTGCGGAGAATCATACATCGGTGAAACTAAGAGGCCATTGAAAGTTCGCATTGCTGAGCACAAGGAACACACACAGCGAGGAGAAACCAGCTCATCAACATAATATCAAGTGGGCTCAAGCTGATATCATCCACAAAGAGGAACACTGGTTTCGGAGAAAATTCAAGGAAGCCGCGTATATGTTGTCCAACAACGCATTCAGTCAAGCTAGCGTAGAGATACGTAACATATGAAAACCTCCAATCAAACGAAAAACGACCAACTTCCGCCAAACGGTCATCTCCCTCTAAAAACCAATGAAGCGGAGAGAGAGAAGAGGGGTTAGGTGAAAGCACTCGAATGGCCTATAAATAGTCGGATCTCGGAGGAATAAGTCCAGTTATCACCCGAAGACCATTATGGATACTAACAATCGAAACGTCGTGACATAACTTGGAATTTCAAATCAATTTATATTAGACAATGGAAGTCCGAACTGATGAAATACAGGCACAAAGTATGTGCTCTGCGGTTTTCACATTTCCTCAACAAAGAATGGCTCCCGATAGTCCAAGTTTCTACACATAATGATTTAAACCACAGTGACTTGAGTCGGTTAACTTATTAGACCTCGTCTTCCGTAGTCCACCAATTGTTTGGTTTTTCCAAAAGAATGGGCCAACAGACGCATATTTTAACAGAAGTCTGACAGTCTTCTTGCAATCCGAGTATCCAGTGTTTGTTTAGCAAGTTTACTAAAAAAACAATTTGTTCAGGACAGTCTCGACTCACCTACACTGTAGGTTAATGGACTGACATCTATCAGAAAATAACTATTCCTCTGGGTAATATCACGTTGTCGTTGGATCATATATCCAACAGGTGTCAGTGCAGGAATCCTCACAGAAGTATTTTCTGCATATGCTGTTGGTGATACAACTGCTGGAGCCTAATAAAATCGTTTGCAGCGCCCTTCCTTGTAATGAAATCAACATGTTGAGGCTTTTCTTGATTTTGCTTCAATACATGAGTGACTGGCGTAGATATCCGCTGCATATCATCTTGAATATATATGCCTCACTTCTGCGACTCTGACGACTTGCACTAGCGAGGTTATTCTACCAAAAAGCTCCATAAGTGAATTCAGCTGTAGTGTCTTCGATCCCTGCTCGATCTGCACTCAGTATTTTTTCCTCGTGCATGAAGTTTTAAATCATTCCTAGAATGATGTGACGTTCAGTATCAATTATTAGTCTGCTGACAGTGTTGTGCTGATGGTCTTGTAGATAACCAGGCAGGCTACTCTCTGAAATCTAGAGTGATCCACCTAAGCCATTCACTCTAAGAGCTATTTGCTGTAGAGCACCGAGTTATTTCTCTGTACGTGATCATTGGTTCCATAATGAAGATTTTTCCATAGATTCTCCTACATATTCATAGAAATAGTCTGACGTTGTGTAAAAACTTCACCAACTGATCGTCGATTTTCCAGATTGACAAGCTACTGGTGGTTATTCAAGGAAAATGCACATAATCAACTCGCCTATTTGTCTGTCCAGTATCGTTTTAAGAAGGCAGATTGAAACACTTGTGCAGGCGAGTGATGAGATTTGAAGAGAAGAGAAATTTTACCATCTTCGCCGGGAGATTTGGAAAGTTGAAATATATGAATCGCCCATTCAACTACCGGTGCTGTGATAATGTTCTTGTCGACCACCTAGACATTCTGTTTAGATGCTCATTGGTTTTCTATTACAAGCTCTAATCTTTATCGTGCTGAGAGGTACATTCTCTCACAGAACTTCCTTCATAACTCCCATCTATATTTATCTGGCAAATTCGGACAAAAGGTCCGAGCTTCCTAGTCATTGGGTTATGAGAAGAACTATTTGACTATATGTTCCCATATAGTCTAGTTCTAGTGCTAGTTCATTTAGCGTTAACCAGGGTGCTCCTCAAGGAGGCGAACTATCCATATATGTGTGAATTATCTTTCAAGTTCACTCTGTCTGAACCGCCATACGATAAATAAAAAAATGACTTCCCTTTGGTCTTCCCAATTTTCTGATTGTTAATCGCTACAGTAGTTGTAACTACCAGTTGCTCATTCATCATCTGGATTGAATAATATACCACTGAGATCTTGTACAATATAACAGGCTACCCAAATTAAACTGAAGCCCAAAAACAAAGTAAACGTGAATCAACACAAGACGGTCAGCTGCAAAGCCTCCGGAAGGAGATTCGATGTATTTCACTGGTTTCATTGGGCTCTAGTTCCATCTAGTTGTCTTGCAGTGAAAGCTGTGGTGAAAGACAGAATGAAACTTGTTCAGCTGTCGATGTCAATGCTTAGCTTTGTAACTGGGGAGCCTCTTTCATCTTTGATATTGTGTATTGAGTCTTCCGTCTGTCTCATATATGACAGCTTAGTGAAGGAGAATGTCATTGCTTCCACTCACAGATGTCACAGGGCTGCTTCCATC